GTTGGTAAGACAAAGCAAAGAAAAATAATCTTTATATTTTTTTACCACTTATGCCTAGACTAATTAATATTACTATTCAGTTTAATTAAAGCATATCTAGTTCGTCTGGGGGACTCTATCGGTTAACAGAAAAGCAACATCGTATTGAATTAAAACCACATTTACCTAATACCTGATCTAACAATGAACGGCTAAATGTTCATAGCCCTATTTTTCACTAGATCCAGAACTTCGATTTTCTCATTTCACAGTTCTAATACTTCTCTTTCTATCGAACCACATCTAAAACCATCAGTTGTGCGTTTGTCTCATGATCCTAAATTGAATGCATATGTTAATTATACCGTAATGTCATGTTGTTGGATGCTAGCTGTTATTGACCTGTCGTTGAACGCCACCTATATTTGTTATGCTATAAAACATGTATTTTAGCAAAGATAGGCTATGATTCTGGTTTTTCACTACTGAGCCGTTAGGGTTAGTCCAGCATCTAACAGCCAGAGTAATAACACATAATTTTTTCTACTCTATACACATAAAAATCGACATTTTCCATAAACATGAATCCATTATGAAGGGAAATGTTCCCCAAAATGATGTGTTATTAAACTGACTGTTAGATGCTGGACTAACCCTAACGGCTCAGTATCAGTAAGAAAAGGAGAATCGTACCGACTATGAAGGAAATATTTCCCTTCATAATTGTGTACGGGAAATGTCTATTTTTAATAAATTTCTATTAGCTCCTATCTGTATAGAAACAAATTTATTGTACTGATAAATCTTTCATATTGACTTGCGATTAGTACAACTTTTACTGTTTATTATCTGAAAAATATACGAAAGATCAAAAAAGTAGACAGATAATCGATATTCTTGTAGATACAGATATTTTAAGTAAATTTTGAGAAAAATAAATAATGTCATGCTTTTGGCGCAAACACTTCATCCTTTTCACACTTCAACATTTATTAATGAAAACTTTGAATGATGACACAGAATATCGAATGGAATGAATGACTATTACATGTGTACAAACATTTTTAACTAATTTAAATTATCTTGTACATTTAAATTTCCAACTTCATCCGAAATAATGTGTGCAAAATTTTTAGAATATGTTTTAAATGAAGATAAAAATAGTTTAGATGAATTATTCGAACAAGATCTCTATTTAATTCGTTTATTACATAAGGAACGGAAAAAATTATTTGAACCATTGATATGATTAGCATTAGAAAATTTTGTTGATCAATTTGTTTTACTTTTAATTTCGTTAATACAACAACAACAAGAAGACCAAATTAAATTATTAAAAGAAAATAATCAAATAAAACATAAATTACAATCATTAGAAGATGTTGTATTATTGGAAACTTTAGATTTATCAAATTTAATTCGTCGTTTTAATACTAATTATAATAATCAAATAGAAATTGATGTTGGTGAAATGGGACCATGGAAATCCATCGTTAACAGTTGCCAGACTTCATCTGGAGGTTTAATACACCGGGAGCTTTTTGACGACGAGGATTAAATTGAGTACAAGGAATGCAGGACTGCACATAATTTTCGAAGTCCTTGTTAATACAACAACAACAAGAAGACCAAATTAAATTATTAAAAGAAAATAATCAAATAAAACATAAATTATTCCCTTGACTGAAAGTCTAGGGTCATATGAAATAAATGTCGGCGTCGGCATCGGCGTCGGCGTCGGCGTCGGCGTCCGCATGTGACGGACGTACATACATCTAGTGACCAGTGAGTGTGAGGGACGTACATACATATAGTGACCAGTGAGTGTGACGGACGTACATACATATAGTGACCAGTCAGTGTGACGGACGTACATACATATAGTGACCAGTCAGTGTGACGGACGTACATACATATAGTGAACAGTGAGTGTGACGAGTTCCGATTTCCCCTATTATCAGCTTTTCTCAGGAAACGGCGATGTACACCTCATTTGATAGAAAAATGCTCGGGCTATTCAAAACAGTATTCCGATTAGTTCGAGCTTTTACGGAAAAATAAAAAACAAAGGAGTTCTTGTGATTACGAAACACTGTACTGCATAGAGAACACCCAAACGCTTCTTGTACATATCTTTAATGACTGGTCCCACCTGCCTGGATATTCTGACCAGCTCACT